GAATTTTTTTTCAAAAACAGCTGTGGTGTTATCTCAAAATAATTTGCAAATGGGAATTCATGAATCCAACTTTAGTGAGCCCATTTCTCCAATCACTGCAACCCTTGTGTTTCTTTTCCAGAGATATTACCTAGATATTATGACAGACATGGAACAATTTTACATGTATATTTTTTATTCCTCTAGGAACTTTCACTGTAAAGTCTTGAGGAGCATTTTATATACTCATGTTACTGGATGTCAGCTGCTCCGTAGGACCTAGAGGATATTGGATCAAATTCCAGTCCATGGCCTAAGTTCTGACGGACTCATAGAAGAATTAGGTTCTCATGGTCCCAGTTCCTGCTTTCATGGAAACAGTTTATAGATTTTTAGCATCCCAGGCAAACTCTCCTTGTCTGTTCAGTTTTGATCCAAGCATGAAATTTAGTCCTTTTTTTGCTGTGATTCCCACAAAATTCATTCATAATAGGGGTGTATGTGTGCACTTAGCAGATTTTACCAAAGGTTTAGGGAAGAGTGAAAGGTATTTACATCTCAAAATAGAAATAATGAGTGTACACCCCAGCCTCCTACCATGTTGCTTGAGCTATTTCCTTCGATTCTAGCCCCTCTCTGCTCTGCTGACTCACTCCTCCTACCTCCAAGCCTGTTCATCCCAATACAGCGCGGGGTGGGGGCGGGGGGCAGTTAGCATCTTTGTTGCCTGGCTTCACCTGACCTTTGCCCTCAGTGACTCACCTCCTTCTATATCCCTATCTTCCTCATTCCCAAACTGAGATATTTTCTTTAAAGTAGATGATTTCGTTCAAGAATTATTCTCATGGAGGACTTCCCTGGTGGTCCAGTGGTTAAGACTTCACCTTCCAGTGCAGGGGCTGTGGGTTTGATACCTGGTTGGGGAGCTAAGATCCCACATGCCTCAGTGGCCAAAAAACCAAAACATAAAACAGAAGCAATATTGTAACAAATTCAATAAAGACTTTAAAAATGGTCCACATCAAAAAAAAAAATTTTTTTTTAAAGAATTATTCTCGTATCTGCTTTTAGGAGAGTAACGTTCTCACCTTGCTATATTGTGGATCAGATTCTCTTGTTCATCTTGCTTTTTAAATTTTTTTCTCTTCCCCCTACCCTCATTTCTTTCCCCTCTTTCTCGCCCTCCCCCTATATAAAGACTCTGTGTATCTCTAGTCTCAATGCTTTTTCGTCCAAAGGCAGTCTGAGGGCTGTCCCTAGAAGAAAAGGATGGGATTCCTCGTCATAATGACATGTGTGTGTATGAGCTGGTGGTGATGGTCTGAGCCTCGATGGTTTGTAGGATGGGATGTGGGCGGTGGCTTTCTCCCTGGCCTTACCCCAAGCACTCTCCCTTAGCCCTGCACCGGCAGCCTGGAACCCTACCATTATGCCTTTGCAATTTGTTTTGCAGCCTTTCCTTAAGGCTTGTTTTGTACTTTAATCTTTAAATTTCTGGGTAAAGGCAAAAAGAAGTGAGGTATAGGTTTAATTAGACAAGCTTCTCAAAAGAGCAGAAAAGGTGAAACAGAAACTTTCAAGTTCTTACAAGCTGCTATTTACAGATATCCCCCAGAAACACCCTTTACCCTTTTCTTTTTTTAAAAGAAACCTATCTGCCTTATTTTTTTCTGTCTTCTTTCTCTTTTTTACTCTACCTTTGAAAATATTGATCCTTCTCCCAATTCTTCTCAGTGTTGCAAAGTTTCCATTAACCATGGAAGATAACTTCCTTCCTCTCTCCTGTGGCTATTTCACTGTTTAAGTCCTCACACTCTTTACTGTTGGACTCCATCGCCTGCCCTCTTCCTTTTCGTAGTCCTGGATAGACAACCTGCCATCACATTCTTTGGGACTTCAACTATGATATGTGTCTCTGCTGGAGTCTTCTTAGGATGTGTTCTCTTGGCAGCATGAGCAGCAATTGTTCGTGGTGTCTAAATTCCAGCATCTTTTTCTACTCTGTGCTCGTTTCTGAGTAGTTAACAGCTTCTGGAAAATAGAGCACTGTCTTTACCTTCCTGGGATTTAAATAGGCACATTTTAAAAATTAGATCTTTGTGAAGATTGAAAGAAATATGACATCAGAAGGCGGAGAGGAACTTCTGGAGATTGTCTACGTGTTCCCCTCCTACGTTGGGCTGTTCTCTTAAAGCCATCGTAGCAGAAACTCGGAGGAATGCGGAGACTATCTGGAATGGTGGAAATATACTAGTCTGCTCTGCTGTTTCCTAGCTACGTGAACGTGGGCAAGTGATTGAACTTCTCTGAACTTTAGTTGGGTTCTTCTGTAGAATGGGGAGAAAATGACCTACCTCTCTAGCATGGCAGATGCGAGCCAGTCAGGTACCTTTGTGCAGAATATAAAAAGGCATCCCATGAGGGTGAACAGCTGACCGAGGGGGGCAGAAGCAGGATTTCAGCCCACACTTGCCCGTCAGCTGGGCACCCTGGTGCAGGACATAACCTGAAACCCTCTGTAGCAGCCAAGCTCCAGAGGTTTATCGTCTTCCCCCATGAGGAGCAAGCCTGGAGAAGGGCTGGGCAGGGGGCAGTAATGGGGCCACCTGGTTGCTTGGCAGGGACTTAGCACCTCCAGAAGGTGCCTGCCTTTTTACCTTCTAGCTCGTCTCTGTTTTCATCACACCATTAACAATGTCATATTAACATACCAGCTCAAAGGTGTCACTCTTGGAGAAGGTGCTGGGGAAGCATTTCTTTCCATGCTGGTCTCTAGCCCCTACCTTATGCCTGCCTCACAGATTACTGGGGGCATTAAATGAGACCACGAATGAGAAAACATCTAGAATATGGCCCCAAACACTGACTTTCTTACTTTTTCTCTTTGATATTTCTTCAGGATAATCTGGCATCTGTCAAGACTTTCTCTTACTATTTTCTGTTCCAGAGGTTTCCAAGGTAGAGTGCTTGACCTCCAAGAAATATAAAGGATGCCCCATTGAGATGAGATTAAAATGAAAGCTTTATGTTTATTTTAAACTTAAAGGAAAAATAATTAAGTTTTCTAATATTTGACATATGGATTGGCAATACTTTATTGGTATAATTATAAGTAGACATATATATGCCCACAAACGTGGGCATGTTTAACATCAGGTAAGTGATTAAAATGTTTGAAGGCATTCTCAAACATTCTCACACCTCTGTAGCCACTGAACCCTCTGAATGCAATTACATTTGTTTTTCTTCCCTGCCTTCTTTTGATTTACATAGTAAGTAGTAGCCCCCTGCTATATCTTTTAGGCTGGAGCCTTTATAAATCTTTATAAATGAAACTTCCTCTCTTCCCCTAACCTCATTCTTTCATTGTTATCTGCATAGGATATGGGGAGAGATAAGCTTTTCCCTAAAATATGTATAATTTATAGAAGGTAATTTGTTACTTAGGATAAAGTCAAATTGAGATCTTTTTGGTTTAATCCTAGAAATTCAATAAAATAAAATAAGAATGTGGGCTCTGGGTCCAGGTGGCCTGGGCTTGATAACATTAAGCAAGTTACTTAACCTTTCTGTGGCTTGGCCTCCTCATCTGTGAAATTGGGATAAAAGGAGTGCCTGCCTTATCAGGTGAAGGTGACAAAATAATTAATACCCATGACATTATTGGAACAGGACTGCATATTAAATACAACAGAAAGTTTGTTGCTGTCCTCACTATAATCACCATCCTTATCTTCATCCCTAGGAGACGTGTGGTCTACACCCAGACCTATGCAACTCTGAATTGGAAGGACTAGTGTCAGTTCTAGATTCATTCACTTTCTCAGCAAATACTGATGGTCTCCTATGTATCAGACACTCAACTAAGTGTTGGGTGCTCCACTGCATTGTCAAACCTCGTAAATACTTCTCTCTATGGGGCTGTATCTCCCATGTCACCAGGTTATGGTCATATTCTCATGCCATAGCAGTCTACTTTGTAATAGAGTCAGTTTCTACTTCTAGAATCAACATAAAGAGCTGTGCTGTTGCAAAATCGTTATACACTATGGAGTTTCAGCCATTTGACCTAATAAGGTACAAATAGACTTCCCTGCATTATTAATTCCATGTTATTACCATCAATTTCTTGGTTATTATTCTTTCTCTGAACTGTTTGCTTATTGTCCAGATGATTCCACTTACGTGTACTTCTTCCTGGGGATGATTCCTCCAGGTTGATTCAAGGAGTATTTTGCCTCATCCTACCTCATCTTCAGAAAGAATGTGTTCTCTCTTACCCAAACTGCAATCTTATGAGACTGCTGGACATTCTTAGGGCTTAATATTCTTTTCAACAAGCTGAAGCATTGGTAGAGGGATAGAAGTTGATGTAATATTTTGTGTGAAAAGCAGCAAGTTTAGACATAACTATTTTACTATCGAACATTTCTGTATTTTTTCATCTCTCTCTGAAGAAATAGTTTTTACAAAAGCTTAGTAAATTCCCATTTTATTAAAGCCATTCACGTTCATCTATGCATGTCTAAGATATGGATAGAAAGAAAAGAGGAAACAATAAAGATGGGAATTTCTCCCGTATTTCCTCCTTTTAATGCTTCTCATACAGAAACTAATATCAATCTTGGGACCCATCCAATTCAAGACTGAGTCTGATAAGAGGATGTATTTCCCAGACCAATGACTGATTCTCCCAGGCTTCAGTGAGAGAAGAAATGCAAATGTTTTTAAATACGTGAATGTTCTTTAACTACTTATTTTGTTGTGAATCGTTCTGTGTCCTAAAAAACTGCTGCGTTTTGTGTCCTGAGTTAGACATGGTGAACAAAGGTATATCGATACAATTCATTTTTCCAACATGTGGGCTAAGGATAAAAATCTCGGTGCTGGAATTGAACATTGTATTCTCCAGGCAAAGGAAATGGACATTTATTGGATGGTATTGCTGCTTTCTTCGCCCTAATGACATTATGAAAGCTCTTTGAGTAATATAATTTGAAAATATTATTTCTTTGTTTCAGGTCATGCAAGACAAGATAATCTGCCTTCCAAAAAGAGTGCAGGCTTCTCAGAACCAGTCTTCCGTTTCGAATGTCTCTCAAGCAGTGGCCAGTACCACCCCACTGCCTCCACCGAAACCGTCTCCCACTAACCCAGTCACTGTGGAAATGAAAGGACTGAAGACAGATTTGGACCTTCAGCAGTACAGCTTCATTAACCAGATGTGCTATGAGCGAGCCCTCCACTGGTACGCCAAGTATTTCCCTTACCTCGTCCTCATCCATACCCTGGTCTTCATGCTCTGTAGCAACTTTTGGTTCAAATTCCCTGGTTCCAGCTCCAAAATAGAACATTTCATCTCAATCCTGGGGAAGTGTTTTGACTCTCCCTGGACCACACGGGCTTTATCTGAAGTGTCTGGGGAGGACTCAGAAGAAAAGGACAACAGGAAGAACGTGAGCAGGTCCAACGCCACCCCGTCTGGTCCGGAAGGCGGCCTGGTCAACTCTCAGTCTTTAAAGTCAATTCCTGAGAAGTTTGTGGTTGACAAATCCACTGCAGGGGCTCTAGATAAGAAGGAGGGTGAGCAAGCGAAGGCTTTATTTGAGAAGGTGAAGAAGTTCAGGCTGCACGTAGAAGAAGGTGATATATTATACGCTATGTATGTTCGTCAGACTGTACTTAAGGTTATAAAATTCCTCATCATCATTGCATATAATAGCGCCCTGGTTTCCAAAGTCCAGTTTACAGTGGACTGCAATGTTGACATTCAGGACATGACTGGATATAAGAACTTTTCCTGCAATCACACCATGGCACACTTGTTCTCGAAACTCTCCTTTTGCTACTTGTGCTTTGTAAGTATCTACGGATTGACGTGCCTTTATACCTTATACTGGCTGTTCTACCGTTCTCTGAGGGAGTACTCTTTTGAGTACGTCCGGCAGGAAACTGGAATTGATGATATTCCAGACGTGAAAAATGACTTTGCTTTTATGCTTCATATGATAGATCAGTACGACCCTCTGTATTCCAAGAGATTTGCAGTGTTCCTATCTGAAGTGAGTGAAAACAAATTAAAGCAGCTGAACTTAAACAACGAGTGGACTCCGGATAAACTGAGGCAGAAGCTGCAGACGAATGCCCATAACCGCCTGGAATTGCCTCTCATCATGCTCTCTGGGCTTCCAGACACTGTTTTTGAAATCACGGAGTTGCAGTCTCTAAAACTTGAAATCATTAAGAATGTCATGGTACCAGCCACCATTGCACAGCTAGACAATCTCCAGGAGCTCTCTCTGCACCAGTGCTCGGTCAAAATCCACAGCGCGGCGCTCTCCTTCCTGAAGGAGAACCTCAAGGTCTTGAGTGTCAAGTTTGATGATATGAGGGAGCTGCCCCCCTGGATGTATGGCCTCCGGAACCTGGAGGAGCTCTACCTGGTTGGCTCTCTAAGTCACGATATTTCCAAAAATATCACCCTTGAGTCTCTGCGGGATCTCAAAAGCCTTAAAATTCTCTCTATCAAAAGCAATGTTTCCAAAATCCCACAGGCAGTGGTTGATGTTTCCAGCCATCTCCAGAAGATGTGCATACACAACGATGGCACCAAGCTGGTGATGCTTAACAATCTGAAGAAGATGACCAATCTGACAGAGCTGGAGCTGGTCCACTGTGACCTGGAGCGCATTCCTCATGCCGTGTTCAGCCTGCTTAGCCTCCAGGAATTGGACCTCAAGGAAAATAATCTGAAATCTATAGAAGAGATCGTTAGCTTCCAGCACTTGAGAAAGTTGACAGTGCTAAAACTGTGGTATAACAGCATCACCTACATCCCAGAGCATATAAAGAAACTCACCAGCCTGGAGCGCCTCTTCTTTAGTCACAATAAAATAGAGGTGCTGCCTTCCCACCTCTTCCTATGCAACAAGATCCGATACCTGGACTTGTCCTACAATGACATTAGATTTATCCCGCCTGAGATCGGAGTCCTACAAAGTTTACAGTATTTTTCCATCACTTGTAACAAAGTGGAGAGCCTTCCAGATGAACTCTATTTCTGTAAGAAACTGAAAACTCTGAAGATTGGGAAAAACAGCCTATCAGTACTTTCACCAAAAATTGGAAATTTACTATTTCTCTCCTATTTAGATGTCAAAGGCAATCACTTTGAAATTCTCCCTCCCGAACTGGGCGACTGTCGGGCTCTGAAGCGAGCTGGTTTAGTTGTAGAAGATGCTCTGTTTGAAACCCTGCCTTCTGATGTCCGGGAGCAAATGAAAACAGAATAACTTATTTTTGTTTAAAGTTTGACTGAAACATGCTTCTACCAAATACAGTATAAATAATTAGGTAGTCTTAATGCCTTTCCTATTTTATTATTTTTTTCTTTTTCACACAAAACAAAATGTACACAAAGACTGAGTAAGGAGTATGTATTTTTAATAAAAAGTTAATTGTATTTTTTCAATATTAATATTTTAAAGTTTTATTTGTCCTGGAACCTAATGTATCTATTACTGTTTTCTACTGACAGAAACAGATGGTTCCGTCTGTTTTTTTGTTTTGGTTGTTTTGTTTGTTTTGGTTTTTCAGTTCATTCTTGTGAAGGGAAGGGAACTTTAAGTTGCATGCTTTTGGTGTTTTTTAAATCCATGAAGATATTTTGCCAAGGTCATTTTTAGCTTGTTTACACCTGTACAGGGTCCTTACTTTTGTTTTCATTGTATGTGTACCAAGGAATCTGTGCTAGTTATTTTAATTCCAGCTGCCTTCTCCATTGGCCAATTATTTCATTCTATAGAAAACACTTCTCTGGAGTGTAAACTCACATAAGGGCATTGTCATAGACTATTATTTTCGAAATTTCCCCTTGCCTCCAACAGAGCCCTAAATTCTATTCTTTCACATATCTGACAGTTATTTATACTTAGGCAAGGATTTTGTAAGTGAGTAAAGACAATAATCTCCCGTGGTCAGCTTGCTTGAATTGGTCATTTATAATTTAACTGATTTACATTTTTACCAACATTTAAAAAATATCATTGAAAAGGAAATACAGAGGTTCCTCCCATTTAATATCAATATTGTATGTAGTACTGGTGAACAACCTTAGAAATTGTAATTTATTTTAATTAAAATAGGTAATTAAATTTAAAAATCAGAATCAGAAGCCTGTTTTTTAGTAACTTAATCATCTTTGATATCTTGATATGAGAATACATCCGATGGAAGAAAAAAAAAATGTGCTACTAAAGCACTCTGCTAAAGAGCTGATGCACTCCAGGCAGGCACACTGGTTCCTCTGGGTAGTGTGGAAGTGGGGATCTCTATTCAAATTCTGCCTGTTACACGAAATAATCCACGTATATGTACGTATATAAATCTATCTCCCTCAAGCCTGTCCTTGCTGCAAATGTTAGTGATGCAAGCACAGAAAGTCTGCTCTCTTTGGCTTAAAAAAAAGTATCTCATCTAAAATGGTTCTGTTCCTTTTTTTTTTTCTTTTTTAAGTGTGAATAAATTGCTAAGTAGATAGAAATAATTTTTGCCTGGTGGTTAGCCAAGTTTTATTTATCTCTGTACTTAAACATCCAACATAGCATGGGTCTTGGGCACAAGTTTTCACTGACTATTAAGCTGTATAGAACAGGAAAATGAAAGCACTATTTGTGCCCTCAATCCAGGACCAGTGCTACCTATCATGGGAATTTTGTTTTATGCTCCAAATTCACACTGTTTTCGGAACCCTAGTCTGACCTAAGGAAGTTTTGTGACTTAATGAAGAAAAATAGAAAGATGGTTTGGGGTTTCAAGATGCTGCTTTTAAAATCTACCCCTTGATCCTGGTGACTTTGTTTAATGCTACTTTGAGTCATACATGGAACACAGCTATGGGAACTACTCAGCAGATATATGTACCTCAACTGTGTTTTAATTGTTATGATACTTCGTGGGGTAAAGGATTTGGGGAAGAGATGCTTTTCATTTATTTAATAATTGAATCATGTAGACCAAAATGCTTTGCTGTCTCTGCTCTGTGTTTAAGTGTTACAATGGTGATTTTGTATAGCTGGTTTATTTTGCCCTGGAATTGAAACAAAATGTTTAAAATAGTAACATGGTTATATTTCTTGTAGGATAAAATATTCAATTCTAGAATGTTGTTAGGATCCTGATTATGAACAATGTGTTATATTTAGAAACATAGTGCTACCTGTTTTAAACAAACAAACAAACCTGGAAGGTTGTCCATGGCTGAGCATGACCCTGTTGCAAGGTGAGCTTTTATAACTACTGGTAAAACACTAGGTGCACTATTTTTCGGGATAAAATTTATAGTTGTTTTCTGTATCACCCTTAAAAGGGACCTATTCAGGTTAAAAATCATATTTATGCTGAAATCTTTATCTGGTGTTAACTCATAATCTCATATGTGTTCATAACTGAAGTAACTAATAATTAGTCTTTGTGACAATTTGCTCAAAATGCCAAAAGAATTTGATTCGCTTTCTTAATGATTTCACAGGCTGACCCCTAACCTAAGTTCTAAATAACATCCAGTAAATCAGTATAGTTCTATGACTTTATGGTTTAACTAGGAAGGAAAATTCATAGATGTTTCTGTTAGATTTTATAAAAATTCAAAATGTTCAAACTTCATCTTGAGTCTAAATTTTCTGACCCTGACCCTTTTTAATATTGTATATTTTTGTTCACATTCTTAAGTGAAAAGCATTAAATTACTCTTTAGCCTTTAACTGGGAAACTCAGGTAAATGAACTGCTGACTTTTCTAAAGTTCTTTAATGAATCAACTCAGTGTTAAAAGGGGTATTAACCCAATCCTTTTCGTATTTTTACAAGTGCTCTTGCTAAAAAGGAACAACTAGCTCTATTTCTCCAACTTCTATAAGACTCATGAGAAACAGCTTATGTAAATATAAAAGCATCATATGTACTCTTAAATCCTATGGCTATTGGACACCCATAGTGAGTATGCTTTTTGGTCAGTTTTAATGGTTAAGTGTAGAACAGACAGTTGTCTGGAGATGGCCTGGTTGAAACAGAGCATCTAAGTATATCCCAGTGGAACTCACCTAAGAAGACCACATCTCAGAAAACTAGTTATATGTTGGGTTTTCACTTTGTTTTGTTTTTAATACAACACTTTTAACATAAATGTTCTTGATACGGTGAAACCTGTTATTTACACTGGTAAATTTTCTGATTGTTCATTCACCCACCTTTCTCTGCCTTAGGTTTCCAATGTAGCTATTGTAATGAGTTCTAACAATTTCCATGGCATCCTGTGTGCAGGCACTGCTTTTTCAGAAAGGCTTGGGACATAAGCCTGCTGTGAATACTTTGGTCATTTAGAGGTGCCTCTTTATCTGCCTCTGAAGCCATCTTTATAGAGAGGGGCTTAAGCAACCTGGAATCTTCCTTGGGTTACTTGGGATGAGGAAAGTCTACATTTCTGCAATATGCTATCTTATGATTTCTGTTATAAGAAAGAGAAGAAAAAATCTTTACATCTCTTGTTATCATTTCCCCCAAGGGTTTTGCTGTTGTTTATGTTCCTAATTCTAAGAAAAGTCCAATTTTTAAGGAGTACTTTACTCTCTAATCTAATTTCATACCAAACACCTGATCAGTAGTAATGATATATTTACTAAAACAGTGAACACTCACGATCCATCTTTATGAAAACTGTCAGCAATATGTAATAGTGAATAGATAAGATAAACCTCAAAACAATTTCCATTTGTGTTTAGAGACTAAATTAAGATTCAATTTACATTCTCCTATAAATCCTGAATGTGATAATGCCATTCAAGCAATTCACATTTTTGGTAGGATCTCAAGAACTCAGGGTACATAGGGTTCCATAGCAAAACAGCACAGTTATTAGTGAGGGGAATGCCTCAAGGGTCGGTAAGATTTTCTCACTTTTTTTCTTGTCTATTCAGATACATTGTAAGAAAGCCTGGACAGTCTCGACCAGACGTGCCATTGATTTTTCAGATTTAGGCCTCAGTGACATGCTTCTAATACAATTGCATACCATCCTTCCAAACTAGCTGTCCACTCTTACTCCATCTTCCCAGAGCCTTTCACTGATAAAGGTAACATCCTTGAATTCCTTTTGGGGTGAGGGAAGAGGGTCTCCTCCCACCCCAAGGAATTTTTTTTATTTAGAAGACCTTAAAAAGGGGTATATAACTTCGAACAACTTAATTTCTCGGCCATGTTAAATAACAGTCCCTATGCGTGGTTTCGGATGTGGAATAAATTTGCTTTCTGCTGAATACCATTCCCTCTCCCATACGATTCTGCCTATTTAATGAATATTTTTACTAGGGTTGAAACTCAATGCCTTACGTGGTCACTTAGTTTTCCTTCTGCTGCTTGTTTTCTCTCGCTTTATGTGTTCAGATTGTGTCAAATGCTGGCAAAACCTCTAAGACTGTCAAGAAAATGCTTGAAAGTTGATTTGTCATAGTGTAAACTCATGATACAATGTCTTAAGGTTATTTGGCTATGTAGTACATAGGAACAGAAAATAAAGTCATTTTTGTAATTTAAAATTGAGATTGGTCCCTTTCTTATTCATTTGTAGAAATCATGTTTCTCTTTTGGATTTCTCTTGTATTTTTGCATATTCTGTTATTAAGGCTTCCTGTACTCTGCAGGAAATAGGCTGCATGCATTCTTTCACTTTGTATTTAGCCAGTTTCTGCAATTGTGACTAATTATTTCCTTCCTTAATTCTCTGTACTGCATCTCCCCAAGGTGCCCCTGGAGTTTCATTTGGGTAATTAGTGCCTTACTGTGTAATCTGGAGTGCAGTTTCTGTGCATTTGCCAGATCAGATTTTACAATGGCTGTCCAGCCCAGCTTTCAGTAAATACTTTTATGGTAATGATTGTCATTAAAGAAATCAGAATGGTTCTGTACAACCAGAAGGCCTCCCCTAGTTAAACACATACACCCCAGGCTTAGGGAAGCCCTTTATAAGAAAACTTTATGTACCACTTATGCATAAGAAAATTGTGACGGGTAAATTTCGAAGCTAAATTGTCACTTTACGTATTTTTCTATAGTTATTTATGACTCAGTTATTTTACTGATAATCCTTTGGAGAAGAACTGTTGAGATGAGGAAAGATTGTGAGTGTGGTGAGAGAAGCCTTGCGAATGTGTGTATCAGAAACTTAGGAAGGAGTATGTGAGAGCTCTGGAGAAACTATGGAGACAAGAACTGAGATGGGCAGCAGATTAGAGACATCTGGTGATTTCAGTGTAATATGCACATAAGAAAAAGTCTCTTGTCCACTGCCACCTTCCACTGCCCCATCTTCCAGTCCTTTCATTTGTACAGAATATTGAGATAAACACTGAAATTAACTAGATTGATTCAGTTATTCATTATTGTTGCCTAGCAAGATATAAGATAAGCACTTTGATTTGGATGGAGACGTATATGAAGAGAGTAGTCACTAAAGCCAATTTTAGACTCAGTGGGATACTTAAATAGCCATAGCATAAGGCCTGCGTATTTCTGAATGTACATTTGAATGTCATCCTAAATATCCAAGGAGGAAAAAGTGAAAAGCTCTTCATAAGCTACATTATTTTTGTGTGTAAATCTTTGAATACAGGCTATACTTTAGATTTCATATTTAAACATTTTTGAACAAAGCAAGGTACAAGTAAACATTTATGTGATCAGGCATACCATAAGTGATGAAGTATTTTCAGAGTTTGGAGATTTTGCATAAAAAACACAACATTAGGCAAAGATTTTATTACCAAACATCTGAACGGAAATGACCATTCTGATTATTTTGATTCAGGGATTCTTCTTTTGTAAAGTTTGGGAACAATTAGAAGATGGACTTTATTTTTTTAAACACTTAAGGAATTAATTTTTTTAATTGAAGAATAGTTAATATACAGTGCTGTGATAGTTTCAGGTATATAGCAAGGTGATTAAGATATACAGATATAAATATATACAGATATATTCTTTTTCAGATTCTTTTATGTTATAGGTTATTACAAGATATTGAATATAATTCCCTGTGCTATACAGTAGGTCCTTGTTGTGGAATTAATTTTATTTCAACTCAGGTTACATTTAGACAGCACCATTAAAAAAGTATTTAGTTCCATTCTTATTAGTTTCATGTAATACAGATCTTGGGGAAAGTGACACAAAGAGGCAACATGCAAGTTTTGCATTTTATATCTCCTCCATAGTTCTTCTAAGAAAAAAAAAATCAACTATTCAGCAGAGATTTTGGTATAGGAAAAAATTGCATTTCTTCAATCTGAATTACAAGGTTCTTGGGATTCCGTTTTAATTTCACATAGATTATGTGGAATAATTTTGTTAAAATCATACTCTAGGGGCTTCCCTGGTGGCGCAGTGGTTGAGAGTCCGCCTGCTGTTGCAGGGGACACGTGTTCGTGCCCCAGTCCGGGAAGATCTCAATGAAAAATGTGAAGCTACAATCATTGTAAGTTTGAGAAATAAATGTCCACAAGTTTATGAAATAGTTGATGTGTTCCATTTATGCCCATTGAGTTGTATGTATAAATTATCTTTCTTAATGATTTAAATTGCTTTATGAAAAATACTTTATGATGTAACCAATCTCAACGAAAACCTGAGGCCATGTACACTAATGACCTCTAAGTGGTGTTAAAGAAAAAATTAATCTGATACTGATACTTGTTAGAATGGTAAGGAAGACTTTATTCAGGACTTATTATTTATTCAGGGTTTTTTCTTAATTCTCCCCAGGTTCTAGCCTCTGGTGATGCAACTTGCATATTTTCTTGGGAGTCACATTCTAAGCCTTCACAGTATCAGCATGCTAACAGGTTTAATTGTTTTATGCATCCAGAAACAAAGACAGGATGTTGACTGCCCTAACTTTAGTATTTTTCCCCTTTGCTTTTTTTTTAATTGAAGTATAGTTGATTTACGTTGTAGTGTTAGCTTCATGTGTACAGGAAAGTACTTCATATATATATATATATATATATATAAAATTTTAAGATTATTTTCCATTCTAGGTTATTACGAGAAGTGAGGAAGTGTTTAAAATGAGTTTCTGCTTGTGAAATTGAAAACTAGAGATTCAGCTTCGGTCAAAACTACTCAGTCAAAACATTTAGCTACATAAATATTTTAAGTCCAGATAAACTCTTAAAGAAACTGAATTGGTTTCAAATGGGAAATATGAAAAATGTCAGAGGGATTAAATACCTGATGTATATTACATAAGGTTTTTGTTTGTTGTGGGGTAGTATGGGGAGTAGAGGTGTGAGTCAACGGGGAACCTCCTGATAAAGGATGCTCAGTGCACTTTCTAAACTTCAGGCTGATTTGTTGCCCTTCAGTTCTACCAACAATGTGAAAACAATCAAATCTCAAGTATGGAAAACTAACTAGACCATTATTTTCAAATAACTTTTTCTAACTCAGAAACTTATATAATAAAACAAATAAAAATGATTTTTTAAAAAGAAACTACTAGTGACTATTGAGAGCTTTAATTATAAATCTGATCAAGAACTTGCATCAGGGGATAGATGGAGGAAGGGATAAATTGGGAGATTGGGATTGACATATACACACTGTTATATATAAAATAGATAACTAATAAGAACCTACTGTACAGCACAGGGAACTCAACTCAGTACTCTGTAATGACCGATATGGGAAAAGAATCTTAAAAAAAGAGTGGATATATGTATATGTATAACTGAGTCACTTTGCTGTACACTTGAAACTAACACAACATTGTAAATCAACTACACTCCAATAAAAACTAAAAAAGAAAAAAGAAAAAAAAGAACTTGCATCAAAAATGCCTGAAAGTTGGCTCTAAAACCTTGTAGTAAATGCTTGTAAGACAGAAGTTGCATTCTAGTTTGTCTTAAAATGTTTAGACTCATACACATTTTTTTCTTATGTGTACAGGGAGGAAACAATCATTATACAAAAATGTATCTAGGACTCTATAAATGCTTTAAATAGACCTGACAATAAAGGAGTTATACTTTACCTATGTACTTTAATCAATTAGCCAGGGACCCACTGAGTGTTAGACATTCATAGAAACGCCCCTTCTACCTTCAAGTCTGTCCATCCAAATCTAATTTTGGCTCTACTTATACTAAGATCACTGAGACTTTTTAAAAGAATTTTAAGGCTTATTTAGAATTTCTCTTAACACTTTCTACATGCCTCATTATCTAGGGCACTTATCACTTGTACTATGGTTATTTTAGGACTTATCATATCTCTCCTTCCAGAGTTGGTGTTCCAGTGATTGTGGAAACCAAGACTTAATTTGTCTTTGTACTTTTCTAAAGTGCTTCCCATTGTGACTTCTATGAGATGGACCTCGAAAAGATATTGCTGAATGAATCAAGAAGCCTAACTTGCATTAACTGAGGACCCTGGAGCTATAAAGGACTATCATTCCTGTCCAAACTGGTTCTCGAATGTATTATTTTCCCAGAGCTGCCGTGACAAACTACCACATACTGGGTGGCTTAAACAAACAAAATTATTGTCTCACAGTTCTAGATCAAAGTGAAAGCAGGGTTGGTTCCTTCTGAGGGCTGTGAGGGAGAATCTGTTCCATAAGTCTATAGTTTCTGGCAATCTTTGGTAATCCTTGCTGATAGATGCATCACCCAATCTCTACCTTCATCTTCATATGGCGTTATCCCTGTGTGTGTTGTCTCTGTGTCCAAACTTCTCCTTTTTATGAGGACACAGAATATTGGATCAGAGCTCACCCTGATGCTGCCATCTTAAGTCGATAATCTGCAAAGACCTTATTTCCAAGTAAGTTCACATTCACAGGTACCGGGGGTTAGGACTTCATCTTTTGGGGGGACACAATTCAGTTCATAACACTGAATGAGACAATTCTTTTTCTTGATAAAGCTATTAAATTCCAGGTTTCTTAGAAACACAGAATTTGGAGCCCTTGGTTAGTCCAGAGGTTTTCAAATAGTATTCCAAGAAGCTCTAACTCTTCCACAGAGTAGCCACTCCCAGATCTCTATCTCAGGAGGACTCGGGGACCATATAGGGCTCCTGGTTTCATATCTGTACCAATTACTATTGCCTTGTAACAAACCACCCCAAAACTTAATAGGGTGAAACAATTATTTTTTATACTCCCAGATTCTGTGGACAGGGAATTCGGAAAGGGCACAGCAAAGGCAGCTTACCTCTGCTCCATGATGTCTGGGACCTCAGTTGGGAAGACTCGGTGACTGGAAGCTAGAATCTTCTGGAGACATCTTCACTCCCATGTATGGCATTTGATTCTCGCTGTTGGCTGGAACCTCAAATGGGCCTCTCCATACGGCCTGGGCTTCCTCACAGGATGTCAGCTTCAGGGTAGTCAGAGATCTTAGATGATAGCTTAGGGTTCCGAGGCGACTATTCCAACAGCCAGAAAGTACACTGCCTCACACTTTATGATATCACCTCTGCCATTGGTTGAAATAGCTGTAAATCTTGTCCAGTTCAAGGGCAGAGGAGAGGTGACACGGACCCCCACCTTTCAATGTCCATGTCACATTGTAAGAAGCATATGTGGAGCCGGAGATAGTGTTGAGGCACCTGTGAAAAATATAACCTGTCACACTATATACACCATCCTCTTCAACCATTGGGCAGCACCTCTCCATAACTGATGTTCACGAGCAATTTTAGCTAAGAAACACAAAATCCATAAAGGCCAAGTACACTCAGAAACTTCATACAATCTTTCAGCATATCTGGTGATTACTGTAAAAAACCAGAGAATTGAGAAAGCTAGTATTTTCTTCACTCCTTTTGTTTCTAATTTCTTTGGGCAAGCTGGGAGAGCCTGGTAGAATAACTATTATGAAATAACTGGAAGAAAGCCATCATATCATTTTATTGAATCACATCTTAAAAATCATCAACTTTTTGACAGGGTATAAGTAAGGTGCTTTCAGAAATTTTATTTGATTATCGTATGTTTCTCCCAGTGTCAGCCAAAATTTCCTCAGTTGCTCAGGGATGCTTGTGTACACAAACAGGCATACTCCCTGGGTCTGTTACTTACACAGATTAATAAGAGGAAAAGTCTTATCAGTGTCTGTGGGGGAAAGTGCAGAGCCCTGCCGTGGTCCCTTAGCCAAGTTCCTCAGCTTCCATTCTTTTCCAGGCACAGAAGCTGTCTCCTTCCCTAGCTCCCTTCCTGACAAACCCTCACAGTGACTGCGGGACAGGCAGCAAGAACAGATCTCTGAAGCCTCTGACCCCTTGCTTGCAGCAGCCTTATCTGTTAGGTCCTATCCTTCTAGCTCAGGAAGAACATTTGGGGGCTGGAAAAGTTTTCTAGGAAACAATTACTCATGAGCAAATGGACCAGAAAAGTCCCAGAGATGTTCTCCAGCAGACAATTTAAACTAATGACTCACAGCTGGGCAGCCTGCCCTGCTACAGCTGATGTGAGCTGTCTATGTAATGCTGCCTTAAGATCTGTGTTCTCCCTGCATCCTACTAAATCTCCAAACCAGTTCACTGAGGGCTCTCCTCGCTCATGTTCACTCTCTAAAATCCACCAGCATATTTAGTTCATTCAGAAGGAATAACTATTGAAGGGCATGTCTTCCACCATAAGGTTGTACCACAGGTGTCAGCTGGAGTCTGAGTGTCTCAGGATTTAGATGAAATTGGCTATTCCCCCATTCCATGCCCTTTGGAAGTCCAGTGTCCTCCCCAAAGTTCACAAATTTCTGGTATGGTTATGGATTCAGGCCACTGGCTCAGAACCTCTGTTTCTATAGAATGTCTTCCACTCATACTCACTGTTCCCCCTGTTTGATCCCTGTTCTGCACCTGAAAGACAATCTGCACTTTCCTATTTCCCCCAGTGCACACACCAGGCTTCGGTGCATTTCAGATTTTAACGAAGGTTGTGAGAGATACAGAGCATTCATGAAAGCCACTTTAGGGCCCTAATTTTGTAACAGCCCTTCAGCCGGTCTACGAAGAGATTTGGCCATCCCCTCTACCTTCCTTATCACCCCTCCCCCTCACCCCTCCCCACACCCATCCTTCCCTCTCCCCAGCCCTCTGGTCTTTTCTCTGCTCCACCACAGCCCTAATCTCAAGTTCCTCACTTCCAGCACCGGGTAGTTTAACGTTCTCCCGCTATCTACATCCTCGCTCTCACCCCTGTCACCCTGGCAGCTTATCACAGTTTTTCTCAACACACTTCCATCCCATAAGAGGAGTTCTCATGTCTGTTGTTAAGTTGTCTTATCAGCCAGTTTGTTACAAGTCGTTGCTCTGAGCTGCACCTCTTTGACTATTCCTCCTGTCTTCAAAATGTCCTGCCTTTCTCCTTCACTCTGAAAATGCCAAATCTCCAAGCTTAATCCTCACTCCTCTGGCCCCCTTCCTTCTTAGCCCAGACACTAGTGACCTCATTCACTTTCAGGGCTTTGTCTGCAGCCTTTCTGTAGCCACTCCCAGATCTCTGCCTCTGATTACCACTTCTCTTCTGCCTCTCACCTCCAGCTAGCTTCTGGGCATTTCCACTTGTCCTGTCATCTCAAGACACACCTTAATGTGTCTGAGAGCAAAGCTCATCTAAGCATAACTAGTCGTGGCAACAGCCTCCTAAACGGTCTCCCCACAGACCTCTGGTGCCTCCACCCTCACTTTCTCTTCTCCATCACTAGACTAGTTTTCCAAAGTGTAGCTCTGATCTTATTGCTCCTCTGTTCAAAAACCCTCTCGCTGTCTTAATACAGTCTTAGACTTCCTTTCAAGATCTACCACAATCTAGGCCTGACCTGCATTTCCAATACAGGCCCTGGAATCCAACGTGAATTCAAATCCTCACTTACCCTTTACCTGATGTATGACTTTGGGAAAGTTAATGTAAACTCTCTGGCCTCTGTTTATGTTAAAGATATCCATATTTTGGCCCTTCTCAGGAGGTACTAAGATGTTATATATCCTAATGCTGGTACCAAGTCTGTCCTTACTAAGTTGTAAATTTCTTCTTTTTCTTTATTTTACTGAAGTATAGCTGATTTATAATGTTTTGTTAATTTCTGCTGTACAGCAGAGTGATTCAGTTATACAAATATATATACATTCTTTTTCATGTTCTTTCATCACAGGATGGTTTATCACAAGATATTGAATATAGTTCCCTGTGCTGTACAGTAGGACCTTGTTGTTTATCCATTCTGTATATAGTAATTTGCATCTGCTCATCCCAAACTCCCAATTCATCCCTCCCCAACTCCCCCTCCCCCTTGGCAACCACAAGTCTGTTCTCTATGTCTGCGAGTCTGTTTCTGTTTCGTAAATATGTTCATTTGTGTCATATTTTAGATTCCACATATAAGTGATATCATATGGTATTTGTCTTTCTCTTTCTGTCTTACATCACTTAGTATGATAATCTCTAGGTCCATCCATGTTGCTGCAAATGGCATTATTTCATTCCTTTTTATGGCTGCATAGTATTCCATTCTTGCACCCTCAGCCACAAGTCATAGCTATTTTCAAGGTCTCTATGATACAACCTAAAGTTTGATATCCAGAAAGTAAAATGGAATGACAATGTAGTAATAATGCAATCAACCAAGTGGCTGGTTAGCTATATGGAGAGCAGTTAGTGGGGGCTGTGAGAAGTGGGTAGAATTCGGGAAGGAAGGCTTGTTCCCTTTTCTTGGAAGTTCAGATGCTGAAAGGTAACTGGAGATATGGGGAGGAAGGGCTAGAGCCCAAATGCTGGCTGCCTCATAGCATCTGAATTCAAACCAGAGTTTACATCTCATCTCTGCCACTGTCCGGATGTGCATATTAGAGCAAATCACTTAGTTCCTTGAGTCATAGTCTCCTCCTCATACAATGGAGGGTGGCGGGGGAGGGGTACCCATCTTTAAGGCTGTTGTGATGATTAGTTGTGTAATGTGTAAGACGTGCTTAGCTCAATGCTTGCACTCAAGAAATTTGCTTGTGTTATTATGACTATGTACTGAGCTCTGGATAATGTAAAAAGTAGCCTACAATACTGCACAGTTTCCTAAAGTCAACACTTATTTAGCACCTAGAATGTGCTAGGCATCGTCTCAAAGGCATTGTCTTTTGCCCTCAAGGAGCTGAAGCATCCCAGGAGAGCCACAGGTAAGCAGTTACCATTGGGCAGCATGATGAGTGGTGTAGCAGACGTGTAAATGCAGTTAAGTCATCCCTAGATATCTGTAGGGGACTGGCTCTGTGGACCAAAAAAGCCCAGAAGGCTACAAATAGGAAAAATGTTTATTTGGGGTCTGAAAAATTGCATTTTGGGAGACAGATTCAGGTAAAGCCAAAAGAGTGTTCCAGGGAAAAAGAAAGAGTCAGGGGCTTATAAAGGCAAAAGCCATGAGGCTGTACTCTGACAAAAGAGAAGAAGTATTTGTCCTTAAGGGATAGGCTGTCACCAGTTGTTTTAAGGTAAGGGTCGGGTAAGCATCGTGAGTTTCTGGCAGTTGTTCTGGGTGCCTGCATTTAAGACAATAAGTGGTCAAAAGTTCAGATTCTATGCGGGCGAGATGTGTACAAGACACACTTCCTCAGTGGCCTTCCAGCTCCATTTAGAGAGCTCTCTTAGCAACACTGGTGCCATTTTGATCTTCCTTTCACAGCTCCAGGACTCCTGTGCAGATACCAAAATCCATGGATGCTCAAGTCCCTTATATAAAATAGTGTAGAACAGTCAGCCCTCTGTATCCACAGGACCAACTGTACTTCTCTGGAAACACAGGCGCTTTCTCCACCAACCAGCATTTTCTGAGCACATTCCAGGTGCCAGACACTGTTCTAGATGCTGAAAGTTCAAAAATGAATATGATTCCTGTGTTTAAATAGTTCATAATATAGTAGGAAATGCCAGCCGTGTCTCCAATAGCTACAGTGTGTTCCAAGAGCTCACCTAGATGTCCATTCACACTACACATGGGCACAGGGAGGATGCAGTCAGATTCACCTGATGACAGGAAGGGTTTCAGGAGGTGAACCTGAGCCGAGTCCTGATGCAGGTGACGCCCAGGAAGAATTGAGAGCACTGTGGGGAAAGAGATTTTTGAGTGGGCACAGAGGCCTGAGAGGCCCATGTTGTCATTGGAGGTCTTAGGGGCAGGGAAGGATCAAGAGCCATTGAAATGCATGGGAAATAAGGATGGATAGATCAGCTTGAGGGTGCCTTGGATATGCCACCAACACCAGAGAGCTCTTTGGTTTATCCTTCAGGCAGTGGGAAACAGGAAGGAATTTAAGCCTATCCTCACTTACTTTCCAAGCCTGGATAATCTTACAGAGGCTGTCTGAGACCTTCCTCTCTGTTTTCAAATCCTTGTAAAAAGAAAAAAACTACCATCTGGTTGGTCTTGAAGAAAACCAAAGGCTGCAAGGAGAAGCCAAGTGTGGGCAGACTGACAATGCCCAGAGCAAACTTGGCCTTGCATAATGAGACTCATAAACAGTAATGTGTTGCTTTAACTTGTCCTTGGCATGGGAGACCTCAGGGAAACCACCCAGACTCATTCTCCTTTGTCCCTGCCTCTTCCTCTTCTTTCACACCC